TCTTCTTCGCCCACGCGCCGCGGGCGGGAACGAGGCGCGTGCATCTCGCCGCGCAGCGACGGGCGGCGGGGGAGTTCATCGGTGAGTCGTGCGCTGCAACGTTCCGCCGCTTCGGCTGGTCACCAGACGGATCGCTCGTGGCGGTGCCGTACGGCAAGGTGCCGCACCGCCACAACAATAACAGCAACAGCAGCAGCAGCGGCGCCGTGGCGAACAACACCAATAGTAGCAGTGGCAACAATAACAACAGGAACAGTGGTGGCGGTGATGCACGCCGAATGGATGATATGGTGCACTGCGTGTATTTGTACACACGCAACATGCCAGAAAAGGTGGCGGGGCGTCTGACGATACGCGGTTACTCTGAGGTGCGGGGTGTGCTCTGGGCGCCCTGCTTCTTCGANCCCCTCGACGACACCAACAGCAGCAACGGCAACCACGACAACAACGAGGAGAATGGAGTGGCGGATGGCGAAAAGGAAGGGGAGAGCAGTGAGGAGAGGCGACGGCGGTGTCTGGCTGATCGTGGGTCGTGGGGGCCCGACGACTACCGCATGGCGTTGGCGGTGTGGACGGCGGACGCGGTGGTTGTGTACACCACCGACAGTGGGGTGCGGCACAGCGACTACACCGATCTCCACATGCGCAGCATCTCCGACGTCGCGTGGAGTCCAGACGCGACGTACCTCCTCACCGCCTCGCTTGACGGCTACATCTCCGTCATCGCAATCGGCGGCTCACTTGGAGTCGTGCACCAGCTTCCACTGTTCTCTGCTAAGCCGGTGACGGCGGCTATCTGCTGCATGCTTTCAGAGATACACAACATCGGTGAGAAGCTGGAGCTTGGAAGGAAGCTCGCAACTGAGAGAGCGTCTGCGCCGAAGTTGCAGGGAGGTGATGATGGCGGCGGCAGCAGCGACAACGCCGTTGTGCACGTACCGGTTAAAAAGAGGAAAAAGATGGAGCAGCAGCAGCAGCAGTCCCAGGAGCTGATTCCCCTCAGCGAACTCTCAGATTTGATGGAGGGTGCATAAGAATTGCAGTGGGCCTTTCATGTTGAAGTTATTTCACCTTTTCCGCAATTTTTCTTCGCCATAGAGCGTATCACACAAATAAAGATATATATATATATATATATATATATATATAGAGAGAGAGAGA